CTGTCGGTCAGACCCCCGGAGATCGAACTCTGCGATCCATTACTGGTTGGTGCTCCACTTCCAAGCTCTGCAAAAGACAACTGCAACAGGTGCAACGTTTGGGACCAGAAGGTAGTGGCTTTTTCCTACCTGCAGGGGAGAAGCTGCATTTGCTAAACTTCCCACCGGGTTACACAAGGGCACCCAGCAAACGCTCCTTTGCACGATCGGACTGGTGTAACAGGCCTCCCCCCGGTCATTGTGCGACACCTCCTTTCTTCTTTTCACTACCGATCCTGTTAATTTTGTTCTTAGACCCAACCTTGCGTGCCCCATTTTACGATGCTCATAATATTATAATGTCTTAACTCCTATTTGGCCTCTCCGTCCGCACTTAAAAAGGTAAAGGTTTCCCTTGCTCGAAAGCCAGTCGAGTCCGACTCTAGGGTTGTGGTGCTCATCTCCGTTTCAAAGCCGAAGAGCCAGCGCTGTCCGAAGACATTTCCGTGGTCATGTGGCCGGCATAACTAAACACCAAGGCGCACGGAACGCTGTTCCCTTCCCACTAAAGTGGTACCTATTTATCTACTGCAATTTCTTGCTTTCGAACTGCTAGAACTGCTGAACTACCAACCTTCCACAGCCTGCAGTTCAGCGTCTTAACCACTTGAGCCACCGCAGCTCCACTTACAGTGCCTCAAATGTTTTTGGTCTAGGGTAGGGGTCTCCAACGTGGTGCCCCTGGGCACCACGATGGCCGATACCTTTACTGGCACCCACCAAGTGTTTCTAGGAAGTGGAGTGGGGGTAGGTCTTTTGCCCCGCAAGGATTTCTGATTGGCTGTGTAGATTTTTTAAAACGTTGCCTCGACAGCAGCTGCCGGCACAGCACAAGGATAGACCCTTAACTGACATTCAGCCACGGGAAGCATTTTCTGGCTGGCTCCGCCTCCCGCGACAGCCATTTGGTTGCCACACCCACCGTGCTGTGTCAGGATTCCGATTTTTAAAAGACCACCATTCTAGGCAAACAAGAAGTCACGTAAAGGAAAATGCACAAAGACAGCCATCTTATTTTCCTCGAATAAGAAGCAAACACCCAGAGCATTAAGGATTTCAATTTGAATAGGGGGTTTCAGAATCCTAAAGTTGGAAGGGACCCTCAGGGTCATCTAGTCCAACCCCCTGCACGATTCAGCAAATTCACAAATACTTAACCACCCCCCACACCCCCAGTGACCCCCTGATCCATGCCCAGAAGATAACTAAAGACCCCCTGATGTTTGGAATGAAGCCAGAGGGAGAAAGAGGAAAGCAGGAAAATTGTGTAGTTCAGGGTAACTTCACATGTTGTTTATTTACTTATAACCCGCCTTTCTCCCCAACCAGAACTCAAGCCAGCTCACATCATTCTCCTCCTCCATCTTATCCTCACAACAACCCTGTAAGGTAGGTTAGGCCAAGAGAATGTGACTGGCCCAAGATCACCCAGCAAGCTTCCATGGCATTTTACATATTACTTTTTTCAGCATATGCAAAACATCAAACACACATTTTAAATGGTAGGGAGACTGTAAACCAGGGGTGTTCAACTCATTTGTTATGAGGGCCGGATCTGACATAAATGAGACCTTGTTGGGCCGGGCCATGTGTGTCACAAAAGGCAGCGGAGATATAAACTTCATAAAGGACACAAACAGAAAGATTTTTTTTAAAACTTAAAATAAAAACATGCTTAAAACAGTAGCACTCTTGCAATATTTTGTTTATTTAACAGTGCCTGATAACTGACACCTCTTGCTCTGAATTACTGCATCCAAATGTCTGTTGCTGTTGCAACCTTGAGTCTGCTGGTCAGGTGGGTATCTGTAAGCTGCAAACCTGCGATGACGCAGCCGCAGCAGAACCGGAAGAAGCAGAAGACAACCAGTTCCACTGCGGGCCTGATCCGGCCTGTGGGCCGCACGTTTGACACCCCTGCTGTAAACCAACTTCCAGCAAAACCACTCTATCACTCACACCAGAAATGCACCTCAAACAGCAAGTGTGAATGCAGCTTTGTAGATTCCTTAAGTGTACGCTTTTTAAAAAGTGGGTTTTTAATGGTCACATACATACCTTTACATAACGTGTGAACGGGCCTTTAGCAGGGGCGATACACGTGTTGCTGTTACACAGTCCAGAAAGCAATGATTAACTCCAACTTTTCCAGTAAGGCCAAAGGGTTTCTGAAAACGGCTTTAATATTAAACCACCACCCATCTCCCCCCTCCCCATCTTCTCCTTTGCAAAGCTGCCCCAGCTGTTACTTGTCCGCCCCCCCCCGGGGAGGCGGGGGAAACCAATACCAGGGAGACGAGTCTCAGATCTCAGCGCCTGGAAACACCAGAACATCTGCTAACCGGGATCGGTAGAGCCGGTTTAGAGAAGTCGGAGCCTGCTGATTCGTGTTAACGTCGGGATGCTCCTAAGGATTTGGAGAACGGGGGAAAGCGTGTTTTTTTCCTTCGGTGCGGTGCCCATTCTCAAAGCAGCCGAAAAACCAGAGAGGCTGCAGAGCGCAATTTGAACCCAGAACTCGTAGCGCCTGCAAAGAGATGAAAGGGTCGGCTAACGCGTTGGAAAGAATCCGGTAGACGTTTAAAATACGGCTTTGAGAGGTTGCAGCCTCTAGGGCGCGCGTGCTAAAAAACTGCAGCAAACCAGACAAAAATTTTAAAAATGATAATAAAAATCCAAGGCAAAATTTTTTTTTTTTAAATACCCCATGCCACTCTGGAGCTCGACAGATGGCCGCGCCTCTCCTTTAATCCCCAGGCTCGTAGCGCGACCCCCTAAACGCCACCCAGCCGCGCCTGGCATGGCCACCCGGCGCCCGGCAGACGAGCCACGCATCGCCCACAAAAATAAGTCCATTCCGCCGGGGCAAGGGCGTCCCTGCCTCCTGGTTTTCCCCCGCGCCTTAATCACGAGTGACAGACCGCGCGCCCAATAGAACGCCGCAAAGCGTCAACTCCGCGTTCGCTCAGCGCCGCCGGCCAACGCGCGTCGCCGGAGCCCAATGGCCCGCCTTCCGTGGACAAATTCGGGCCCCGCGCGGCGGCCATGTTGAGTGCGGCGTAGGGGCAGCGGCTTCGCGGGAACCTCGATTTCACGTCCTCGCCGGCGCCGCCGCCCGTTTTTAGCCACCGTGAGCGCCGTCTTAGGATAGCGGGAAGGCGACTGGGTCCGATCCGGGCGCTTAGCGTTCCGGGCTGGGCGGTGGGACCGAGCGGCGTCTCCCCGCGGCGCCCCAAGCGCCATCTTGAGTGTGGCGCATCGTGCTCCTCGCCTCCCATTGCTCTGCCAAGCTCCGCTGGTATCCCCCGCGCGGACTGGCAGGCGCCCTTTTGCCCTCTTCGCCCCGTTTGCAGGGGGGGGTCACCCCTTCCCCCCCACCTTTGCAAACTCCTGCAGGGAGCTTTGCAAATTGCAAATACCTCTGGGCTTTTCAGATTGCAAAATCCCTTTTCTTTGCAATTCTTTTTTTTTCCTCCCCCTCTTTGCAATTCCTTTGGGGGGCACAACTCCCCGCCTGGGGTTGCCCTGCAAAACTCTTTCATCTCCCCGGGTTGTTTTTTGTTTTGCAAAGGCGGGCGCTTTGATCCTAGGCTGCTGGGGGTGGGGAACAAAAAATTAAAATTAAAGGGGGGGGTGCACGTACAAAGTGGGGGGACCCTACAGCTGAGCGCGCGCGGTCTTTCTCTCTTTTTTTAAAATAGTTGCACCCAATTCTGGGCGGCCGGGTCGGATCCGGAGTTTTAAGTTTCGCAAAAAGTGCTTTTTTTGTTGGGAGACGGAGGGAGGCGCTGGCTGCGGGCGGGGCGGTCGCCGCTGCTTAAGTCGCCTTTTTGCTTTGTTTAAATGACAGCCGGGTCCAAAAAGCCGGCCGGGGAGGCGAGCCCGGCGCCCGCTCGAATTTCCCCGGTTTTTTTCCTTCCCCTCCCCCCCCCCCTTTCCTCCCAAATCCACCCAATTCGACTCTTCTCCCTCCCCCGCTTTAGTGGTGTGCCGAACGAGAAGACGGGATCGCTCCGAAACTGACACGCAGGCGTTTGGACCGGAGGGGGATTTTAAACCTCCCCGCTCGACGCATTCCCACGTGCGCTCGAAGCGTGTCCAAAGCGGAGCGGGGTTTTTTCCACCACCGTCAGCCCCGTTTTGCGCCTGCTCGGGGTTAAAGATGGACCCGTGTGCGGGCTTTTGTGTGTGTGTTGTGTGTGTGTTGCGCGGGGGCGCGCGTGTGCGTAAAGCCCCTCTCCCCAATCACTCTCCTCCGGAGCCTCTTAAGCCCTAAACGTGTTTACTGGCCGGGAAGTCCCACCCACCCTCCTCCAGGTCGGGAGGATCGTGACCTCGGAGCCGAGGCGATCCCGAAAGCGCCTTTTTCAGGGGGGCGCCGCGCGTCCCCGTCGAACTCCGCGGGGGTGGCAGCCGAACGGGTTCGGACCCTCCGGGCTCGGCACCTCCAGAACTGAACGCGGTGCAAAGAGCCAGGACTGGTCTCTAAGCATCGCCGCGTTTGACCCATGCTCTTTTTTTCCCCTCTCTCCTTTGCATCGGGGCAAACTTTCTTTTTTGTTCTTCCCTGCGCCGTGCGCGCCCTCGGGTTTTTTATTTTATTTATTTTGGGCCGCGCGCGCTTTGCAACGCCTCCCTCCTTTCGCCTTTTTTTTCTTCTTTTTTTGCGAAGCCTCCCCCCACCTCTCCTTTCCCCACCCCTTTCCTTTTTTTTTTTTTTT